TGCAGCACCTCGCGGGGTTAAAGGAGTTCGATGATGACGCTCCAGATGTTACAGTTTTTATTTTACATCATTTTTAAACCGGATCATTAAGAAAAAAAAGAATGAAAGATGGAGCTACTGAAGTCGTAATTTTTTATTAATTAGACCACACGCACACACACACACACACACACACTCTTGACCTCTTTGGGGGTTTGAAGCCGTCCAGCCTGAGGCACAAAGGCAGCCCTAACCCCCCCACTCACCTCAGCTCCACAAAAAAGGGGGCTGTTGCCCAGCAGCCGAACGCCACACAAATGAAACCCACTGCCACACACACACACACACACACACACACACACACACACACTCACACACCCTTTCCAAAACAAACCTTGGGCTGCAGCGGTTGCTAAGAGATGAGGTGAAAGCATGGACGTCTCTCCCAGACAGGAAGACGGGATGATTGGAGGAAATTGCCGACGATGTGCCTGAGTGTGTGTGTGTGTGTGTGTGTGTGTTGTGTGTGTGTGTGTGTGTGTGTGTGTGTGTGTGTGTGTGTGTGTGTATGTAGTAGTAGGTATTAGTCCTGCTCTTACAGTCTACAGACGCCCTGCCCTCGCTCTGACCCGTGCAGCAGCAGGTCTGTGTGTTGTGTAAACGTCTCGTCCGTCTGGAGCAGAAATCTGTCTCTCTCTCTCTCTCTCTGTCTCTCTGTCTCTCTCTCTCTCTCTCTCTCTCTTCCTCTCTCTCTCTCCCCTCTCTCTCTCTCTCTATAGACGTTACCTTATCGTTGTCCAGAGGGTCTTTCTGGACGAAGGCCTGGACGAATTCTTCAGGCCCGATGTAACTCAGTCTCTCCTGAGGAACAAAGAGAAGAAGAATCAACTCACTGCATCTTTAAAAAGAAATGTTGGAGAAATAACAAACAGGAAGGTTCTTATAAACATGTAACTAAGGTGATTATTTTTCTCTTTAAGGGATCCAAACCTCAGCCACACATATGTTCACATTGATCTTTTTTTTAACGTTTAATGGCGACATGTTGATGAGAACACAATGTGTGGCGACGCGTGCTGTTTAAAAATCAATTCTACAGTCGGGCGGATGTGGGAGGAGCCGAGATGAGGTTCACCTCGACCACCATGTTGATTTACAATCCATCAAACGTGTCAGCTCCATCCTCGCTCACATGTCTCCTCTAAAGCATCGATTCTGTCTGTTTCTCTCTGAGGTCACTGGAAAGATCTCGGATTGTTTTTTCAGACGACACAACATCGACATCTCGATTTTTCTCTGACGTCTCTCGACTAAAGATCGATGTGATGTAACAATCTGAGCAGATCTTTAAAGAATCCGCCCTGTGCACTCAGTCGGCCTCGTTCTACCTTCTCTCAGTTAATGTTTGTGTCAGAGGAATCAGAATATAAGATTCGTTCTCACCTTCTATGTGTGTGAGCTGCTGGGCGACGGTGAACGGGTCGTTGCAGATGGACAGCATGTCTCTCTGGATGGTCGCCTGAGGCTTCGCCTTCAGAGCCGACAGTCTCTCCGCCGCCGTGGCGTTGATCTTCACCAGCGCCTCCTCGTACTGACTGAGCACCGTCAGCCTCCGGATCAGACCCTGACTCATCTGACCCACCGCCTTCCTGTACACCTGAGGGACGAGGGAGAGAGGAGAGAGAGAGAGGAGGGAGAGAGAGAGAGAAGCAGAGGGTTAGAACTTTTGAAGAGATTCAACAGTTTTATTGCCGTCTGAAATCCCTCAGAAACTTTCTGTTTGCAATCTTTGCTCTTTGCTGCTGTAACACCGTACATTTCCCCGTTGTGGGATAAATAAAGGATTATCTTATCTTATGATAAACGCTTCAACCAGGTCTTAGAGGTCAAAAAGTCGTCCTGTTTTCCAGGCCTCGGTTAGGTAAGAGTTCCTCTCTGACACACTTTAGGGCTTCAGTTGCATAACGTGTGTGTGTGTGTGTGTGTGTGTGTTTGTTTTTGTATAAACGAGGAGGATCCTGTTCGTGGTCTCTTTACATTCCTTCTCTATGAGCTGACCCAGAAAGTCTCGACCCCCCTTTTTCTTTTTCTCTGGACCACAAACCTCGTCCTCCTGAACTCTCAGAGTCTGAGTTCTGAAAAACAAAAAAGTGGAGGAAAGAAAAACTCGCAGCATTAAGACGGAGGAGGAGGAGGAGGAGGAGCTAAGACAGCGAGCAGAGCGGGCTGTCATCAGTCAGCTGGAAACAAGACGAGATGTTTTCTGACTGATGATGGAGACCAATCAGCTGTGGCTCCCTGGATGTTATTAAATATAAACATTCCTCGCAGCTCGACATGAATCTCCTTCACGCGCTCTCAGCAGACTCGGGGTAAACAGACATCGCCACGTCGACCATCTGCCCGAGCTTCTGTCCAAACAGAGAGCGGGTTAAAAATAGATCTGTGAGGTAACCGTCACACACGGGGACTCATCAGGCCGTTACCTATGAGAGGGGCCCAGCAGGGGGCGCTGTGCCCGCCCTGGCAGTGACCTTGAGGCGGGCAGACGGTCGGTCTGTATGACTGGAGCGCTCGCTTCTCGCTGTTGTATCTCTAGAGGTCTTTTTTGGTTTTCTTGGCTGAGTGATGTCACTTCCTGTGGAGCGACATCTGAGCCACAGCAAAGGCCCGGGCTGTTTTTAGCCAATCAGCCGAGCAGAACTAATAAACAGAGAGCCAACAGGAGGATTGTTTATCTACAAACACCATGAGACTGAAGTATCTCCAAACCTTCTAAATAAAGAAACCGCAGAAAGGAATCAGTTGCAAAGTCTTTCTGAGAGTAACGGGTGATAAAACCTTAAAAACCTCTGTCTCCTTTTAACCCGTAGATTACAGTAACCTGGAGCTTCTGCTTTCTTTCTAAACAAGTCGACATATGAACAGTCAAAATCAGAAAGTTTGATGTTTTGCAGAGAGTCCTGCAGCTTCGTCTGCAGTGCGGGTATCAAACCTCCTCAGGAAACATTAAACGGTGAAGAAGTGTCACCTGTTTGAAGGAGCGCAGTGAATGCATCATCAAGATTAGGGGGAGTCCTGCCTATGTTGTATATTCCCTGTTCCATGTTAAACGTCTGAAATCTGTTATATAGATTTGTCCATGTTTGATACTGACTTGCAAAATATTTTGATGTCTTGTTTCGATTGTTTTTAAATCCCATGTGATCTTTAATTTGCTCATTTCAGTCCCTGCTGTCATGTGTGTGATTCTTTGTCCTGTTTGTTCAAAAATGTAATAAAAAATATATAAAAAAAGAAATTAAAAAAAGATTAGGAGGAGTAATGTTTAGTCTGCTTCTTGTGTTCCAGGAAGCCCGAGGAGAGTTATATAACGACCCGCTCCGAGCAGGAAGAGGTCGGGTTCAGATCCCAGCTGCTGCTTCCTCTCTGACCCGACCGCCGCCTTAATGACAGATCCTGATCCTGAACGTGGTCTGGACCCGACTTTAAACACATGTTCAGGTTTTCTATTCTGGACTCACAGAGCGTCTGGCCCGAGCTCTGCGGTGCTCGCTCTGCATCCCACTCTCTACATCCCACTCTCTACTTCAAGACCGAGAGACGTTCAGTTTGACTTTCCTGCTAAACATTTAGAGAGTCTGTGAGAAACAAAGACTTCTGCTGACGTCTGAAACTTTCAACGCCGAGGTCAGGCTGCACGTTATGAGCATGACTGAAGCCAGACCCGGCAGACGCAGGGTGCAGGACCCGTCGGCTCTGAGAGTCAGAGGTTTGATCCTGTGTAGTCATTCTTATTCTCTTTACTGTCTTCTTTCTGAGTGTCATTAAGCCCCGCCCCTTTTACCCCTCACATCACAGCATGAGTGTATGACTCTGACACAGTGAGCATCGTGTAGTCTGACCTCGACTTCACTCTTTGTTAGAATGCCTGGCGGAGTGTCACAGATCATCATCGTCATCATCGTTAAATCTCGTGCTGAACATTTGCTCGCAGTCATTTGTCTTCAGATCTGACTTAAGATCAGTTCATGTCATAAACTTCATTTTTACTTCCTGTTGGGTTGAAACATGGAAACTAAAATCTCCTGATGCTGTTTAAAAAAGAAAGCACGATGTGGTTTTGAGGGGAAGTCGGAGGAAATGGAGCTCTAAACGAGCGTCTTTACTTTTTAGGTTTGATGTTTTCACTTCCTGTTTGAGCTGCGAGTGTTTCTGAGTGTCAGTGAAGACGTTTTGATCTGAAGACGAAATCAGGATCAATCCTCACGCCTGGTTTACTGATGAGTCATGTGACCTTAAACACACAGTGTGTGTGTGTGTGTGTGTGTGTGTGTGTGTGTTTTTCTCGTATTGAGCGATGAAGACACACACACACACACACACACACACACACACACACACACACTCTCTCTCTAAAGTGGACTAACTGGATTATTTGTCCCGACTGGAGAGAAGTGGGAACGTTACCGCCGCTCGTTAGGAGAGGACAGAACATCTGATATGACGCCGCGCTGAAGTCATTAAAGCAGAACGAGATTCTAAAAGTACAAAAACAAACAACAGCACACACACACTGCTTTAACACACAGCTTCAACAAACAGCTGGTTCGGACGCCTCCCGGTCTTGCTCGCTCTCATTGGCTACTGCAGGCTGTCCATCAGTTTAATATTCATGACTGCAGATCGTAGTGACATCACACACGTCAGGATCTCTGGACGAACGCTGCAGCTACGGTACGTCTCAAACTTTTGAACTCCACACTTTTCTACCCCCTTCCAGTTTTTTATGCTAAGCTATGCTAATCACTTTGCTACTTTATTTCCCCAGTAGTGATGTCAGTCTGTGAATCTGCCTCTTGGTGAAACAGTAATCCTTCAATAACCTCAGCAGAGCCTCAAACGTCAGTCTGAACCAGCCCTCCTCTTTTCTCCTTTTCTGAAACATAAACATTAGCGTGCAGATTCCCCCCGAACATTGAAATACTCTGTTAGTTAATGTTATTGTTGTATAATCTTCTGCTGTTGAGACCACAGGAGGAAACCCTACGATGAGTCATCGCTTATGAAAACAGAGAACGACAAAAACACAGACTGACTTTAATCCAAACAGCTGAAGCTCTGACTTGGTGACTTTCAGTCTGCAGCAGAGGAACCACAAAGACACCAAAAAAAGAGCTTTTATCGCCGCTCAGCCAGCCACAGACACACACACACACCTTCCTCTGCAGAAATCAGACGTGCAGGAAGCTGCTTCTGATAACTAAACACATCATCTGCTCCACTCCTGCAGAATCGATCACTTTCTTTTTTTTTAAATGCATGAAACGTCGTTCAAAAAGAGGGAGGAGCTCTGACCTCGTCTCCGGTGGCGAGCCGGTGCGTCAGCTCCTTCAGACTCCTCATCATCCTCTCGTCTCTGAAGTCGTAGGGGAACGTCTCGGTCCACTCGGCCAGCAGCTGCAGGATCTTCGGGGTGATCTTCCGGACTCTCAGCTGAAGATCAAGAAGAGTTTACAACAGAATCAGAGAAAGTCTCATTTTGTGCAGCAGGAACATGATAGTGATGAGGATGAAATTAAAAGTTTAAAGGATGTTTTTTTTGTGCACACCTTGTCAGCCTGGGGGTCGCTGAGTCTCTGCTGCTCCATGCACAGCTGACACACTTTGGACATGAGCTCATACGGGTGGATGAAGAGACGAGAGCTGAGCAGGAAGGTGAAGATGTACGTCCTCTGTGGAGAGAAAAGAAAAGAAGAAACTTCAAATCCGTCATTTCATTTAGAGCTGAACAACATTTAAGTGAAATATGTCCGAGGCTTTGATGAAAAAAGAAGAAGAAGAAAACCCTCACATCTGGATAGTAGTCCACGGTGGGGACCAGGTGGTGAATGAGGGCCTCCAGGGAGCCGGACGCCAGGTGGTTGTCATGGTAATAGAGGCCAGGGAAGCCCTCGTCTTTGCTCTGGAACAGGTTCTTGTTGTAGCTGCTGGTGTTCAGCTGCCCGCTGAAGGGTGGAGTCTGAGGCATGATGTCCTGCAGAGACAAACACAGGGAGAGTCAGAGAGGGACGTTTGACCACACACACACACACACACACACGCAGAAGCTTCATGATCACCTGCATCACAGTTTAAAAAAAACACTAGTTTGACCGGGAATTGAACCAGTAACCACAGAAAACCATGAAACGACAGGGTGTTAAACTTTCCTTCAGGCTAATTGTTCATCATCTGATAAGCAGCGACCTTCTACTGTCGGTTCAGGAGCTGCAGAGATTAGAGCATGCATGAGCAGACTCATTTCTTTTTTTAGATTTATGTTTTTAGAACAGAAAGTTTCAACCTTTTGTGTTCAACGTGAGGCTCTGCTGCCTCTCGTCGTCCTTTATAACAAACAAAAGAAGAGTCTTTGGGTCATCCACAGCTTTGGGAAAGTCCTGTTTGATTCACTGTCTGAACTTAACTATGACTTGATGATTCATGGATCTAAGCAGCTCTTCTTCAAAATGATCAAATTCTCAGAAAGCAAAAGTGAAGGTTCCTCCTGAGTCACACGGAGCTGCTGTTCAGGCTCGGGTACAAACGTTAACTGAACACGTGCTCAAACACGCAGACGTCCAAAACGAAAGTTCAACGACAACATGTGGGAGCTTGTGAGCGACGCGGCTTCATCCCCGCAGGATGAGGAGACACAAGATCACGTTGCTTCATCTGCTGCATGTTTGAAAAGAACAAGCAGAGGAGCATGAGTCCAGTCCTGTGATGTCCTGTGTCCATGTTGCTAATTGTTTTTACTGCACTGTAAACACTCTGCAGGAGTCCGTGCATTGTAGAAGTGGTTCAGATAGAAGTGATTGTACCCGACCTAAAAAGCCTCTGCATGTTTCTAATAAGCTCCACGAGCAGAAACGTGCTCAAACTAGGATCAATATTGGAGATGCTTTTGAAAAATGGAGAGAGGTTAGAACACAGAAAGGTTTACAGACCCATGCAGAGCTGGATAAACACTGAAGCTTCAGAGTCCACCACATGGTGACCTGCTCTTCTAAACAACAGAACACACTTCTCTCCGCTCTATCCCTCGGGGCTTCATGTCATGCTAACAGACTGAGGGTGGGGGGTGTGGGATGGGACGGGGGTCGACGTAGGGTTAAACTCCCCCTCCCCCACACCCCGTCACACCCCCACCTCTCCACACTCTGCTGCCCTGTGGCTGCACCCCAAGTCAGGAAGTCTTTTAGAGGTGGACACGAGGATGCCAGGAGGGATGAACTCTGACTCACAGGTAGAATATCTTCAGACCTTCGCTGTCCAGCCGTCTTATTATTCTGGTTTGGTGACAAAAAGAGCAGGAAGTGAATTAACCCCTTCAACCCTGCAGAGTGCCTGCGTTCATTATTCATGCTTATTGTGATGTCATTTCTCTGAGTGTCTTTGAATGCATCATGGATTTAAAGTCAGACGGGTGAGGTGAGTCTGAGAAGAGGAATATTTAGAAACCCCCCCACTCCAAAAGAAAGGCACAAAATACTTTATTAGTGGAATTCATGAAGTGAATGTGCACTTCTTTATTTCAGCAGAGTGTGAGAGGGAGTTTATATTTTGAGTTTAGTATGATGTCATCACGTCAGAAACCAGAGAAAACAAAACAAACTGTTTATTCATGAGCACACTGCAGACCCCCCCCCCCCCCCACCACACACTTTCACACTCACATGCATGTCCCTCCATGAAACCACACGTGCACACACACACACAAACACACACCATCGCTTTCATTCATCCAGACAGACGGGCTCGGACATTTCCATGAGAAAGACGAGAGTGAGGAGTCCGAGCATCTGCTGCACCATGTGTCCTACACACACACACACACACACACACACACACACACACACACACACACACACACACACACACACACACACACACACACACACACACACACACACACACACACACACACACACACACACACACACACACACACACACACACACACACACACACACACACACACACACACACACACACACACACATCTTTTCTCTGACGCGTTGAACCACAGAAGCTTTTCCTTTCACTTTCTGGCTTTTCAGAGTAAACTCTCACCCCCACAGACCTCCTCAGACCCCCACAGACCTCCTCAGACCACCACAGACCTCCTCAGACCTCCACAGGCCTCCTCAGACCCCTACAGACCACCACAGACCTCCTCAGACCACCACAGACCTCCTCAGCCCCCTACAGACCTCCTCAGACCACCACAGGCCTCCTCAGACCCCTACAGACCTCCACAGACCTCCTCAGACCCCTACAGACCTCCTCAGACCTCCACAGACCTCCTCAGACCTCCACAGACCTCCTCAGACCTCCTCAGACCCCTACAGACCTCCTCAGACCTACACAGACCCCTACAGACCTCCACAGACCCCTACAGACCTCCTAAGCCCTTCTCAGTCCTCTTCAGACCCCCTACAGACCCGCTCTGAGGTTGCACTGAAGAGAACAGAAGTGGCAGCAGGTGGCAGACGACTGAAACGATTCTCATAGTCCTCCCAGCTGAGCTCTAACCCCCCTCAGCTCCACAATCCCACGCTGGTTTTTCCTCTCATAAAGGGGGGAGGGGGGTTTTGGTGGGACATAAAGCTCACACTCTCCTTCGATTAATGAAAGTATTCAGTAAGAATCTCTGCCGCCTCATCTGGTTTTGATTTACTGGATCGTTTTAGTTTCATTGTCCTCGGTGTGAGAATTTGCAGATTTTCCCGATCTCACAGTTTCATTATTAACAGAGTCCAAAGACGATTTCAACAGGATCAGGATTATCAAATGAAGAGGACTTGTAGGGACTTGTAGTTCTCAGGGAAATCCACAGCAGCATGTTCATGGATGCAAACTGTCTGATCATTGTTAGACTCAATGAAAGGAAACGCGTTTAGATGAAACGCAGACAGGGATGAAAAAATCCCAAAACATTTTTAATGCAACACACACACACACACACACACACACACACGCACACACACACACACGCGGATTAATGCGCCGCCGAGGGCAGGTGGGTTTCTCTGAAGATAAAAAGCAGCAGAGACTCTGACAGAGAGAGAGGAGATCAGGTGATGCACTTTGTCCTCACTTCTTCTCTGAGAGCGTAGCGGCACACGCAGGTCACTTCCACGTGTTTGTAATCCCACTGATGCGCTCGCTTCTCCTTGGTCGTCTCCGTTTTATAATCCTGTTCCAAACACGCTCTGAACTCCTCAAATGTTTCCTGGAGTTTTCCAGGTGGGCTGAAAGAGTCCACGTTCAGTACCTGTGCACTGAAGCTAACAAGCTGCAACGACTGACACTCTGATTTGACATCTGGCTCCCGGGTGTCATGTGGAGCGGGTGTAGTAGTTTTGGTGAAGGGTGGGGGGGTCTGTGGGGGGTTTTTGGGGACCCACATATGAAGTCTTGGGGGTCTGACAAAAACAAACTGTTAGCACCTAGCTGTTGGTTTAGCGCGGACGCTGGCCAGGTGGCAGCTGAAGGTAAACAAACTAAATGCCACAGAGGGGGGGGGGGTTTGTTTGGATGGATGGTTTTAATTATAGCCTTAGTTATCGTGTGTGTGTGTGTGTGTGTGTGTGTGTGTGTGTGTGTGTGTGTGTGTGTGTGTGTAGCCATCTGCCTCAGAGTGTTAAAGAAGTTTGGATTTGTAAACAGAGAACAGGTCCCCGCCCCCCCGGTGGCGGAATGAACTTCCAAACTCCATTTGATCTGCAGAGTCTCTCTGCACCTTTAAGAAAAAGCTAAAGACCCAGCTCTTTCATGAATACCTACTAACTTAATGATGATGGTCTCCATATCATTGATGATGATGATGGTAATGACGATGGTTTTTGTTTGATAACGACGACTTATAAGATGGTTTCTATACTGATTAGAGCTCTCAAGAACTGCCCTCAATGTTGTGCTTTGCCTCTGGTCACTTCCTGTCAGCACCTGTGTGTCCAATCAGACTCAAAGCTGATCGTTTGCTCTTACTCACATTGTTCCCTTTTTTCTAGATCCTTGCTTGTGTTGTTCTTACTCTCTGATGTACGTCGCTTTGGATAAAAGCGTCTGCTCAGTGAATTGTAGAACTGTAGTCAGAAATGAGTCAGAAATGTCTCCTGGACGTCTTCAGGGGGGTCGGGGAACCTTTTTCTACGTATTCACACAAAGACGACGCTGAAAACTGAAACTGATCATCACACTGATCATGTGAACATTCAGAGAGGGAGAAAAGCAGTTTCTAGTAATCGAGCCGTGAGTGACAGACAGCTTACAGAAATCTCTAAATATTCCTCTTCCCCCCCCTCAAACCTCAGCGTTTACAAGAAACTCCCCTCCAGGCTGCGGAGCCGCCCGGCAGTGATACAAACGTTCAGGTGATTCTGTCTCTGGGGGGGGGGGGGGGGTCTACTCTCCTGCCTCCTCTCAGAGAGCAGGAGGGGGCTGTCCCCTGCAGCGCCCGCAGTGTGTTAACGACCGCTCGTGATGAGAGCCACACACACACACACACACACACACACACACACACACACACACACACACACACACACACACACACACACACACACACACACACACACACACACACACACACACACACACACACACACACACACACACACACACACACACACACACACACACACACACACACACACACACACACACACACACACACACACACACACACACACACACACACACACACACACACAGGTTTAATGTTTAAACACTTCCCTGGTTCTGTTTCTCGGAGACATTCCTGCAGCTCGGCGCTCGGAGCAGAGAGACTCTGAGATTTGTGATGTCATAAAACTTCCTCTGCAGCCTCTGGGGCGTGACGATATCAAAGTTTAACCCTCGATATGATTCTAGTAGAGTAGTCGTTTTTTTTTGTCTTTAAATACGAATAACTGCAGACAATCTTCCTGCACATTTAATCTCAATTTTATTTTTAAAAATTATAAAAATGTTGGCAACATTTCTGTGACCCCTCCCCTCCTCTGCGCCGGCAAGAGACATAAACAAAACGTTTGCATCATAACAAGACGCAAAAAGGACTTGAGAAATGTTGAGTTAGAATCGACCACCTCTCTAGCTTGTGTCAGCGTTTGGTTTAAGATATGACTGAAGCTTTGGTACTTATTGATACTCTTGATCTTTAAAGACACATCGTTTTTAAAAAGTGTAAAAACTAAATCTGACAGCCTGAAGACGCTGAGCGAGAGAAGGTAAGAAGATGTTTGTTTTTGGTTTATTGGGTCTGGAGGAGGAGGAGGGGGCTGTAATGTGGGGAATGTGATGCAGGGGGGGGGGGGGGCAGTAATCAGCAGTAAATCAACAGCCCCCCCCTCTGCTGTGTAAACAGTGAACGGCCTGAGGAATCTCACTCATCCATGTCTGCAGGAAATGAGGGTGAGAGATAAGCGAGTGTCTGCACAGAGGAGGAGTGAAGTGGTCTAAAAACAGACGGAGGGGCGCTGTGTGGTCTTAAAGGGGGGGGGGGGGGCTGCAGAGTGTTATGTAAAAATACACCTGTGTAAGGAGGAGGAGGGGGGGGGGTAAAAATACACCTGTGTAAGGAGGAGGGGGGGCTGGTCCCATCTTTTCCTCCCACATTACATCAGAATACAGCTCTGAAACATTTCTCAGCAGGAATGAAAATCATCTTCATGAACTTTTCTCTGGACCTTAATCCAGGACGAGGGTCTCAAAGCTGCAGGAGGGCTGACGTGCACCTCCTCAGAAATGTAAATACTCAGAGTCAGGAAGTGTGATCGAGCGTCCTCTGCTTCGACTGATCCCACCTCCTCCGATGTCCGCTCTCTCTCTTCTTCAATCATTTCAGTTTAATCAACATTTATCAGCTCAGACGTCAACAGAACACGCTCCATCAGATCAGAGTGACTTCTTCTCATGCACATTAAAAACCTCTCCTCTGACTCAGCATGACACCGACACAGCAGATAAACATCTGTAGACATTGGTTCATGCAACATGTCTGTCAACAGAGATGACAAAGATAAAGATGTTCAACAGAAGCATCGTTCCACCCCGAGCACAAACTACTTCTGCCTTTGAGTCTTGGAAATGTGAGAATCTCCAAAATCATTTCAAATTGGCAAACACCAAAACGCTGTAAATCAGGATCAGCTGATTGGACTAAACAGCCTCCAAAAGGACACTTGGTGAGATTTGATCCTCCTTCTAATGTCTCACAGATCAATAGATCGATGTTGGCTCAGGGTCTGAGTGATAGATGGTGCTGAAGCAAAGGATCATGTGTCCAATCAATTCATCCTCCTTCTATTTCAACAATTTATCCAATGATCGTTTAGTCCATGAAATCAATGAAAGTTGGAAACATGGTCACCCATCACTTCCTTCCGTTTCTTTCATCAAACCGACGCCTTCAAACCGCCCCAAACATCTTCATCCACCGTCAGGACTGAAAGATGAAAGCAGCTCATCCTCACATTGAAGAAGACAGAACCATCAAAAGTTCAAAGATTCTCATTTTAAAGTCACTAAAGAATCATTTTAATCTGAAGAACAGAAATCTTAGAGGATGTGTTGTCCAGACCTCTGCAGTCTGCACACCTTCTCATCACTAATGCACCAGAAATCAGGACTGACAGGAAACCTCTCATTCCCTTCAAAAGTCTCTTTTACACCAACAAAGACCTGCAGGAGGAGCACCACCTGTAATCCACTTTAACAAAAACCCAGATCCCCCTGTGTCAGAATCACCGAAAACAGGATCCATCATGTCAGCGCGCACACACACACACACACACACACACACACACACACACCGAGAACACAGCAAAGGAGAACACCGGGCACGTTCACAGGAGAGAAGCGGGATTAACTCACTGATCCTCGGAGTCTTACAGGAGAGGAGACACCGGGAGGGTGAGGGTGAGGGAGGGGGGGAATCCTCTTAGGAAGAAGGTAGGGGGGGTTAAAAATAGTCCGCCATTGAAATTGGTTCAAAAATCTCATAATTCGGGAACATTTTAAGAGCCAAAGGTGAGATTTAGAGAGTAGAACAGATATTTTAGAAGCAGCCAATCAGGGAGGTCATCATTGTTAATCATTAAAGATTTATATAAAGTCAAAGCATAAAAAAACTGCAATCTAAACACCACAAACTCAAAATGCATTTATAATGTTTGCATCAGTCCGTTTAAGAATCTCTCCTGATCCTCTGTTTCTGCAGACACGGTGCGCTCCGCTCCGTGCTCCACCTGCGCGCTTTTTGGACACCATGCGAGTCTCCAAACATCACAACATTCAATCCAACCATTAATGATCAAAGTATCCCCGCAATCTATCCTCAAAGCTCACCTCAAACAGCAGCAATCCAGGTGTGAATCCCACTCGAATCCTCTGATTAAAATGATCCAAACAAACAGACTTTCTCCGCCGCTCCCGGGAGGCGGTGAAAGCAGCTGACTGTCCGCGGCTCCGGTGACCTCACTGCGGCATCACGCAGCTGACACTGCAGGTGAGTTAAACGCGTGTTCTCAGGTGAACAGCAGCCAAAGAAGAAGAAGAAGAAGAAGAAGAAGAAGAAGAAGAATGAGTGTTTGAATGAGAGCTCCGGCTGTGTGTTACTCCTCTCTCCGATGTGTGTGAGAGATGTGAACAGCGCGCAGCCTCAAGACTTTACTGTGAGAGTGGGAGAGGCAGCAGCCAATCAGAGGACAGAACTCACACACGCCACACCCCCATCTGCCGTCTCTCTCTTTCTCTCTCTTTCTCTCCCCCCCCCCCTGTTCAGCTTTCATTTCTCTGCTCTGTCCGTCTTTACTCTCTCTTTCGGTCTCACGCTGACGTTTCGATGAATTCTCCTCCTTCCTCTTTAAATGTCTCGATTCTCCATTCTGGGATTCTGCAGGGAATCCCAGAAACTCAAAAAAGCACCACATCATTCTAAAGAAACATCAACAACAAAAATAAACGTTTCTGTTTCAGTGATTCTGAGAAGTTTCTGTTGAAAGGTCACGACCTCCTGCATGAGGTCAAACCTAAAAACTGACATGTGAGGTAGCCAATCAGATGTGAGGTTCCTTGATGTTCAGTGTTTGCAGGCAGTCACTGGTAGAGGGTCAAATGTGCACAGATGAAAGTCCAGGGGTTCAGACCACAGATTGTAAATACTACTGGACTGAGTGACGTCCCCCGTCTGTTCCTGCAGGGGGCGCTGGAGTCCCATCGATGGCGTCCCCCGTCTGTTCCTGCAGGGGGCGCTGGAGTCCCATCGATGGCGGTCTCCATGCTGGAAATGCTGTCTCAGTCTAACTTTCAGTCAAACCTAACGACAGGCTGAGAGCTGGAGCTGAGGCGGGTTTTAAACCTCCTGACAAACCGTTACCACCGCGCCCACCTGTCAATCAGGTCAGCTACACGCCTTATTGTGAATAACTCTTATCCTTCATCAAATCAAAACTGATGAGTCATCAAAACATTCACCCCCCGTACAGTGTTGTCCATCCAGACATGAGCTAATCACACCTATTTGGTTTTTTGAACCAGGCTGTAACACATGTTCATCTCTGCTGTAAAAACAGGCTTTTTAGAATGGGTGTGTATGTGACTTCCTGTGCTTCTGCAGCCAGCCTCTAGAGAACTCCAGGAACTGCAGGATTTTACACTTCAGCGTTGGCTTCACTTTTTAACATTTTATTTTCTAACCTCACACGGGATGAAGTCAAGTCAAGTCCTTTTTGAAGGTTTTATAATCCAAACTTTCAGATATTATCATTTATCCTGTGAGAGGTCATGTGTGAAGTAGTGTGGTTGTGTGTGTGTGTGTGTGTGTGTGTGTGTGTGTGTGGTGCTGTGTGTGTGTGTGTGTGTGTGTGGTGTGTTTGTCGAGCAGACTAATAAACCTCGCGTGAAATAACAGCAAATCATCCCAAATCTCATCATCAACATCCAGAGACGTTACTATAATCTGGTTTTTAGTGCAGATTTACGTATATGTGCTCTAATCCAGCTTTTCTCTCGCTTGAATGAGCGCAGCAGTTTGACCACGAAGATCAGGACGTCATCATCATCATCATGTTGGACATCAAGGGACAAACACACACACACACACACACACACACACACACACCACACACACACACACACACACACACACACAACACACACACACGCACACACACACACACACACACACACACACACACACACACACACACACACAC